CGAATGCTAGTGCGAACACCGCTGACCTTCGCTCTGAAATGTGCCTGTCGGAAAAGCAAACACATCACATGTCACATGCATGCCCCTGGGACACAGTGGAGCAGGATGAGAGGGGGAGGAGGGGGAGGAAGATGATGGAAAAGGAGGAGGAGGAGGAGGAGCAAGAGGAAGGCCCATGCTCTCGGCCAGAGCGCTGCTAAAGTGCAGGGGGGTCACCACGATGTGTCCCGGATGAGGCCAATGAGGGATCTCTCGAAGCTTCCGCCCCTTAGAGATTACCATGAGGCCTTTCTACTACGGTGCCACGAACTGGACATTCAATAACACAATCAAAGATGTGAATAACCACTCCATGGGGCCGCCACCCAAAGTTCTGGGGCCAAAAGGCCCCACAACCCGACGAAACCACATGCCACGTTCCGCCAATAGGCCAAGGACCGTGCCCTGCCTGCCCCCCTGACCCTACCTCCATAGAACCCCATCCCCGCCCAGTAGCCGTGGTATCCCTTCGGGGGCCTTCAAGAGAACCTGGTAGACACTATACCCACTATCGGGCTAGGGCCTCGGCCCAATTTCTCAGCCCAGGGCTCCTGATCCTGGGCCCCAGCAGCCATGAGCTCATGAGGTTGGATAGGCAATGAGGACCTGAGCGTTTGTTCCCCGCAGGGGTTAATATAAAAAACAGGGCAACGGGCAAAGGCGAAGGGCCGTTCACGTTCACGCCACCCCTGGCCTGCCTGTTGCCACTTCTCCCCGGCTTGCTCAAGGATGGAACTCATGATAATGCGATTGGCTTCCAGACAACTGCGAACTATGAACATGATGTGCAACGGCTGATGGGAGTCCAACCACGTATTGAAATCTCTCTTGGCACACTTGTTCCTGGCCGCCCAATCCATGTCTTTGTACTCGTGGTGAGGCTGTGGCCCGTCGTCCAAAGTGACGTCCTGGTCGAGGAGAGCGAGCCTTGAGCCGTGCACTGTGATCCCGTCGCTGCCGTCGTTGAACGATTTGCCAGACCACCTTCGGAAACCATGCCCAAGGAGACCGTGCACCGCTTCCAACAGCCCGAACATGCCAAACGGTCTGCGACTGCTGACCCAATCTTTCCTTGACAAAATGTGAACCTTCCCTGGAAGAAGCGCCTTGATGAGATACTTTTTCATTTTCCAACGGGTGTGCTCGACCGATGTGCAACAACCATTGCAATAATGTTCAATACACGTGCGATTTCTCCAATCCCCATTCGCCAAATGACAGATGATGACCCGGCGCCGCAAGACAGCCTTGTAAGATTGATGTGTGGCAGGAGGCAACGACAGAAACAAATCGAGCATATGTTGTTTGAAACGTACAGCGTCGTTGTTCGGCAAATCATACACATACTGCACTTTCTCGTCGACGTGCTCTCTCATCGAACGAATGAACCCATCAAGTTGGCCATAACCAGATAAACCCACTGCGCCGCTGATCATGCCAGAACAATGGCCACTGACCAAGTCGAGCATCTTCCCGCAAACACCATGGGCATCGTGAACATGGCATCCAACGTGCAATAAAGACCACCTGTGAGATGCTGCGAGTTCCCCCTCTTCGTCAATTAGCCTAGACCTCTCACATTTGAAATTCGCGCCGTAGTGATCCGTGGTGACAATTCTGACGCGGCGGGCGAAGTTCAGGTCGCTCAGGGCTTGCGGCACTTTGAACACTCTCGAGGTCGCCTCCTTCAAACACTCCGTAGAATTTTGATCGATGCACTGGAGCCGCGTGGGCACATCTTGAATCACAACTCGTCGCCTGCCGCTGATCTGATCACGAACCATTGAAGCCAACTGAAAATCAGTTTGTAAAATCTTTGTCGCTGCAAGCCGTTCTTCGTGAAATGTACCGTCGGACACGCGGGTTGGCAAAGGAGTCTCATCATAACTGGTATTGCTGATGAGCAACTCTGGATGGTCATCCGGGTACTGCGATAGCTGCGCCCCGAACCAAGACATCACATATCGTGAAATGTTAAGCGTTGCCGAAGCCAACTCCGAATAATACCGAGTGTACGTTGAGGTGCTGTCTACGGTTGCAGCGGCCATTGCTACTTTCTTGCTGGACATTGTTTTCTCCGACATCACGTTCCTGACAAAAGAGAGCCTAGAACCTTCAACACCATCGCACTGCTCATGTGGACATGGTCGTGACTGTGAATGTCTGGCCCTCAACGCTTGATTCACTGAAGTGAGGAGCTGCTGTTGCAACGGCGTGCCAACGCCTATCAAACTCCCCATAATACCAACTCCGATCTGCTGCAACGAAGGCCTCTCTGCGCGCACGGCCCGAGCTTCCCGGGCTAGCGCCATCCGCTGCCCTGCGTCAAGGACCTGCGGCTGTTGTTGCACCTGCTGCTGAAGCTGCTGCTGATCACGAAGGTACGCTCGAACCTCTTTGGATCCATATGTGCCAGGCGGCCGTCCTCGTTTTCGTCTCTGTGGTGGGGCTGGCTGAACTGCTGTCTCTTCGCAGTCGTGGCCGCCTGGGAGACGCGCTGCTGGCTGAACTGCTGATGGCTCTTCCACTTCATCAAGAAATGCAAGGTCGTGATCCCAGGAATCTGAAACAACACCAGTTTGGCGGCCATCCGATACACACTGCTGCTCTCCGTCACTACTAAGAAACTCAAGGCCGTCCTCCCACATCATACGTCATTGGTCATTCTTTCTTAGAATTCAAGGTCAAGGGCGGCGGCGAAAGAATGGTACGTTTGCGAGGTGCGAGGACCTTGCCGCTTGCCGCAGCCGCATGCCTGCTTGCCAAAATGGCTGCGGGACAGGGAAGCGGGGGGGGTCAGGACTCGGAGGAACGATACAGATGGAGCAGGTTATTGGACTGCACTTTCCACTCACCCGCAATGGCCAAACTACAAAACGCAACAACGCAACGCAACGCAATGCTCGCTGCTCGCATTATGATACAAGGGCCATGTGGTGCAAACTATGTGGTTGTCCCCAGTGAGCCTGACTAGTCGACTAGTCCCTCCCCTTCCCCTGATCCCTGAACTCTCTGGCCTGCCCTCTGTAGTCAGTCCCTTTTGTTTTCGTCCATCACCACTGCTGTAATTTGTCCTTGCTACCTCCCTACACACTACAATCCTGGTGTTCCTTCACAATTCTTGTCGACTGCACAGGGATTTGTTATGTGCCGGGTTCGAGCTATGGCGATCGTGTCATCGTTTCGTTTGTTTCGTTGCATGTAAGAATATCACAGAACATGTTGCACGAAATATAGTTCAGAATTAAGACACGCCGGCCACGTTGACATGCTGACGCTACTATCTAACGGCAGAGTTATCACAACTTATAGGGCGACGCGCAATCAGAGTGCAGCAAATTGCATACCCGACCGCCAAGTCGTTTTGTCGAGTTTGGTTCTTCATTTCCCCGGGAGCATCGCCAGAGACAGCAACAACGAAGGGAGGCATTTTTGGAGCATCTGGCAAAAAAGCCAAAACGAGCAGGAGCATTTTTTGAGCATCATGAGAAATAGCAGCAACAAGCAGGAGCATTTTAGGAGCATTGTCAAAAAACGCACAAAATGAAGGGAGCATTTTTGGAGCATCGCTATCCGAAAAGCACAGAGCATTTCAGGAGCAAAAAAAAAGATTTCGTAGTTTCCTATGAACTGGCCAACGTGGAGTTCTTAATGTTTGGGGTACACGATGGCTAACATCCTTGTTTTCAGGAAGTCAGCGAATTTGGGCTTAGAAGGCTATTGGCAATGATGCGCCACAACACCCTGACATGCATCGTAGTTTGGCGCCTAAAAGGACCACCGCGCCCTGCGATACATTTTTTGTCTGGTTTGGGGACGGCCGCGGATTTTGGCTTGGGAGGCCTGAGTGCTGATGTGTAAGGTGCTGGAACATGTCTGAGTTTGGTGCTCCACAAAGCAACAACAAATACCATGTGTGTATCAAGGTCTGGTGCAACCCCAACCGAACAACAGATCATGTGCGCATCAGGGCATGGTGTCCCCCAACCTTCACAAAAGGAGGAACGGGGGCTTCCTGCAACACCTTCACAGTCAAGAACTTTTGCCCAGCGTGTCGCGGCGGCGGCCCTGGCGAAACGCTTTGCCCTGCGAGCTGATCGCGTGTCGCTCCGCTCCGCGGGGCGGGAGTCAGGGAAAGGTTCGGGACGTCAACGCGTGGAGACTGGGAAATGGTTAGCGTATTGCGCCGAAGCGTAGGCCAAAACCAGCGGGGCGACACGCTAAGCAAACATTCCTGACCTATCCACCTCCTCCTCCTCCCCCCCGCAGAAAAGATCAACGTCGCAACGCATCGGGTGCATGCCGCGAACCGGTGTCAACACAATAGATGCCTGGCCTTATCGAGTCGTTCCGGGTCTTATCGTTGTTTCGGTATCCATCTCCATTTTCCTCCAGATCCTCTTGAATGTATTCGGGTATCATCATCCGCCTAATATTTCTCGGTCTCCGTACACGTACCTTTCCGAATGTTCCCTGCATACCGTCCTCGCTTCTGATCCTCCTCAGCTCTCGCCTCATCATCCTTCTCCTCAATCCACCTCCTGAGCCTAATTCTTTTCAGGGATTGCTCCTCCTCGGCATGTTTCTACCAGTTACTTGTCTCCCTCCCCTTCTCAGCCTTCGCCTTATAGGACTCCTGCATCTCCCCCCGCATACTTTTCTTAGGCATCTCGACATCGTCCTCCTGCTCCTCCACATCCTCTTTCAACTCACAATCGGCCTCCTACTCCCCCTCCTCCTTTCCCGCCCATCCTCACCCCACAAGACATCCTAGGACCCCCTTGAATCCCGACAAGGCAGAATCCTGACAGATCGCCGCGGAGACATCTGAACCCCCTCCTCACGCACCTCGTTCTCGTCCTCCTCCTCCTCCTTCCCCCCATTCCTCAAAGGAAGGGGAAAAGGGAGGAGGAGGAGGAGGATAAGGAAGGAAGGAATGGCAGGAGAATCGCGAGGAGGATCATGAAGAGGAGAAGGGAAAGGAGGATAATGATACATAAAAATATGGCGCGCATCGTGCCATGGTAAGATTGGTTCAGGATGCGTTCCAGGTTTCTCAGAGTACTTAGCGGCCCTCGTTTCGGCCGCACGTGTGGAACATTAGAAAATCAAGTAAATCCTGTGGGTATTGGAAATCTGGGAACGTATCATGACCTCATGCCCCATTGATGCAATGCAGATCGGTCTCCTTGGACAAGCATGCAAACAGAGTGTGAACTCTTGTTGGACCGCAGCCTGGTCTTCGACCTCTTGCTCCTCTGATACAATCCAGCTCGGTCTCTGTACCCAGGCGTGCAAACAGGGTGCGAACCCTTGTTGGACTGCAGCTCGGTCTTCGACCTGTTGCTCTACAATCCAGCTCGACCTGTTGCTCTACAATCTGGGAACGGTCCTCTGACACAATGCAGCTAGGTCTCTTTAAACAGGCGTGCAAACAGGGTGTGAACCCTTGTTGGACTGCAGCTCGGTCTTCCCCTTCGGGGCCTCCAGGCGCATGCGAGTCCTGCCTCCCCTACAGCCCTCCCACCGGCCCCCAAACTTGCAGGGGGGGGGGCACTCCCACTTGTTCCCGTTGCGTTCTCTGTGCCGTTCGGAGTTGCCATGATTACTGTGTGGCCTCAACGAGAGGCTGCAAATATGTTCCCAGAGGGCACCCAACGCTTCCCAACATGGCTCCAAGATGGCCCAACAAGCCTCGACGCAACTCCAACAGGCCACAAGGGGCCCCACGAGAGACTCCGAGATGGTCCAACAAAGTCCCCAGACAATCAATGCTGCTAGGCCCCCCTGGACGGCTCAAGGCGGCCTGAAGAGGGGCCCAAGCTGGCCCACTGCAAGATGTGTCAGTATGGAGCCAAGTCAGCCAAAGAGATCCCGCGCAGGTCCTCAGTCCGTTCCAAGATGGCTCCAGAGGGCCGAATCTGCCCCCTGAGAGGCCCCCCAAATGTCCCCAGCAGGCACCAAAGACGTTCCAAGAGGGTCCCAAGAAAGCCACCTGACGGCATCAGAGGGTCCCAAACTACCTCGGACGACTCCGAGGCTGCCAAACAAGCCTCTCGAGGGTGAAGGATCGGGGGCGCGCAAACATGAACTAGCGATCCATGGATTTGGCGCGCGGTCGCCAAATCCATGGATCGGGGGAGGTGCCCTCCCCAAAATGCGGCCAGTGCCGCCTCGTTCGGCGGCGGAAAATCCGCTGTCCAATGGAAACGGGACCCGTCGCTAATCCACGCCCCCTTGATCCATGTTTGCCATCGCCTGAAAGGAACACCCGAGAAGCACCCTCCAACCCCTGACCTTCCAACGTCGCAACCCTCCAGCCGATCAAACCCTCAACCCTCAGACCCCCAACCTTCCAACATCCAACCACTCCAGCCCTCCTACACCTCCTTCCAGCCACGCGGCGAGGGGGGGGTGGGGGGAGGGGGGAGGACTTCTCAGAAGCAGCCCTGCTTTTCTTAGAGGGCGCGGGCCTGCTGAGAAGCAGCCTCCTTCTAAGAAGCCCTCCCCCCTCCCTCCACCCCCTTGTTTGAGCAGGGACCGACCGTCCCTGCATTCCTATAGGCCTACCACGAAATTTTCTTAGAACCCAGAAATGTTCTGCGAACGAAAACAATGTTCTCAGAACATAACTCCGACGCATTAAATCAAGACAGCCCCGGCCAGGCATGTTCTAAGAACATTTCGCGGAAACCACAAAAAGGTTCTTAGAACATTCTTTGGTTGGCCTATAGGCACGCCAGGACGCTTCGCCACTGCTTGACCCTTGTGCGCACCGCCAATCCTTCGGTTTCTCTCGACAAATGTGAAGGGGCCCTGGGACACACAAATAAATATACACAAATAAAGGTACTCCCCATATTCTTCCATATTTGTTGGACCTTCGTCTTCCCCCCCACTTCCCATGTGTTCCTATATTTTCGGGGGAATCGACGATTACTTGTGTCTGTGTTTTTTCTCCTCCTGACAATCCTTCGGCCTCTCTCAACAGAATGGGCGTCTCAATCCCACTGTGCGCCACCTGCCACCGGCTTGCCGTTTTGGGGGGTCCCGCCGCCCTTCTCTACGTCCGCCGGCTTGCGCCGCCGCCGGCGAGGAGACGCGCCGAAGGCGGCGCCACAGCTTCTGGGAACGCCCCACAGGAGGAGGAGGAGGAGGAGGAGAAGGAGGAGGAAGAGAAAGAGGAGGGGGAGGAGAAGAGTAGTAGTAGTAGTAGGAGGAGGAGGAGGAGGGGGAGGAGAAGAGAAAAGGAGGAGGAGGAGGAGGAGGAGGAGAAGAAGAAGAAGAACAGACCCGAAGGGGAGTGCACGGCACTAAAAAGGAATAAAGCAGGGCAGAATTCCAAAAACTTGTGGGGGGATCGAACCCCAGGAAAGCGAAAAACCTTAGAATCGGGACATGGCCGCTGCGGCCTGTTCCCTGAGACGAATCCTCTCACACAAGGCTGACATACGCTGCTCGTAGGAGGGGGCCGTCAGCGAACTAGAGTGTGAGGTTCGGACCACGGTGGGAGCGTCTGGCTCAGGAGGGGCGGCGGAAAGGCCAAGCCTCGCGAGCGGTACCGCACGATCGAGGGCAGCCCTAACTCTCGGGTTGGGACAATAGCCCTTCCTGAAGTCCGCCAAAATCTCCAAACCTTTCCGTGACGGAGCCTCACACTGACGACCAAGCTTTAAACCCCTCCCTTGGGACCAACCCCCGCAGCGAAGACAGAGGATCTGCTCCTTGGACGAGAAACGACCCGACACCGAGAGCGCACCATTCTTCGAGCGGGGTCCAACCATGGCGACAAGCTTGTGTCCCATGGGGTCACGGAGCAGACCACGGAGGAAAGGCGGCAGCCCACGACATCCATCCATGGGGATATTGTCACGGCTGCCTTCGGCAACTCTGAAACAGTGCCGACATTGAAGTCCGAGCTCTCCTTTGTGCCAGTCGTGCCACGACACTTGTCGTCGAGACCGAGCAGCACCGAATCTGTGGGGCCTTGCCCACCGTGCATCATTGTCAAAACATGGGGGCACCTGAGCCGCAAGCTTGATGAAATGCCGTGCCCTCTCTCCAGCAAGGCTTAACTCCTCGACAAAATCTGGCATCGGTGCTGGGTGCAAATTCAGGCCTTTATCGGTCGGCAGCAGCATTCGCGAGCGCAAAGATCTTTTCTTCGCCCTCCAGGCCCTGAATCTCCGCGTCATCGCGATGTGCCTTGACATGCCGAACAGTGTGAATCAGCTGGGTGCCTTCGAGCTCGCGCGCGAAGGCCCGCACTCCAGCGAACTGGCTGGAGAGGGCAAGCTGATCATTCACATTTTTCTGACAGACACGAATGGCAGCCTGACAGTCCGCACCCAGCACTGTAGGTCGCGTAGCAATCTGACCGCAAATGGCAATGCCGCAGTGCTCAGCCATTGCAGGCGTCTGCGGAAGGACTCCTGGAACTATTCCTTGGACAATCGCCACAGGGTCTTCACCCTCGTCGGGACATACTGCGATCGCCCAGGCCGCGCGCTGCAAGGGTCGGATCCAAGGCTTAGTGCTCGAACCATCTGACGCAAGACGCAACGGGGCTTGGGTGGTGAGACTTGCGATTGACTCAGGAGTCATGTCTAGATCGTTGCCTTGCCCGTCATACATATAGACTTCAGACGACATCGACGGGCAAGGCAGCGCGCTGTCTTCATAAACGTGAACCCCTCGAGTGAAGATGGGGTTGTCGGGATCTTCGCGAGCCGCGTTGAGGAATGAGTCAGGCACCTCAGACGCCGCCCGCGCATCAACAACTCGCGCAAGCTGACAGGTATACAACCTGTGGTGGACTGTGTCTCGTTCACCACACTCGCACAACCCGTCGCACAAGTACCCCGAACGCATGGCACGATCATTGGTCCACAGTCCACCGCAGCCGCAACTCTTGATTAGGTACTTTTGAAACCGAGTGAGGTTTCGGGCCTTGGGTCCGACTTCGTCCCGAATCAAGTCCAGGGTGGCCCTGGTCCCTGGAGGAAAACCGAGCGTTCGAGAAAAATCAAATTCCCTCTCTCTCTCTCTGCAGTCCAGCTTCCAGCTGCACGGCCAAGAGGGCAGGGGGCGTGGCAGACAGGTCTACTCTGAGCCCATTGTGGTCTATCCAGAAACATGGGCCTTCAGCCCTCCAGCCAGCACGCTTTAAACTGAGAACAGCTCTAGAGATGGGCCCTTGGGATCTGTTCCAAGTTGGGCACTCCAGATGCTGACACGAATCCCAAAGCTTCAAAAGCTGAGCGCGTGAGACCAGCGAGAGATCGGGACGCCGCGAAGCGGTCCACATCATTCGGCACCATTGTATAGCAGGAGCGATAGCATAGCGAGCACTACCATCACCCAGAATGGCGACTTTAGCCGCGAGGGAAACGCCCCCGTGAGAAGGCCCCTCGCTGCGGGCCACCATTCTCCTGAGGTTCAGCCACTCCGAGGCCGTGAGACCCAAGACCTCCGCCCCGAATCCGCAGGCAGGAGCGACGCCTTGTTTGGACACCTTCTTGAACGGGGTCTCCTTGGGTCCCTTGAAACGCCTTCGGAGGGCTCGAACCTTGCGAATTCGCTTTTTCATAATAGCAATGCGGCCTTTTTGTTTCAGCCGAGCTCGCTGTGCATACCGTCGAGCGCCTGCGGATTCATCTATGCCAAGATACGCAACACTAGCCTTGCAAACAGATAGTGGCAGCTGCAGAGCCGTGCACACGTCACGAGCGAGCTCCTTCGAGGTAGAGACAATTGACAGCTTCCCAGGGTGCAGCTCCGCATTCAACTTCAAACTGGCCGCCTGGAACTGCTTCATCCCCGCAACTGCCGCTGACTTAGCTATTGCGTAATCGCCCGAGGCGACGTGGAGCCCTGTATCGTCAATGTAGTTCTGGAAGTCCACAAATGGAGCCAGCTCAACGAACGTGTCGAAGGCATCGACGGCGTTGACCTTGATCGCCAGGTCGCTGTAGCCGTCGCCTGCAGGCAGCCCATGAGTGGCCACCAAGGCCGTCAGGGCATGGTGTCGCCCAAGTCGGATGACCCGCGGGCACGACCACATGTTGACGACCAGCTTCAACCAACAATGAGGAGCTCCGTGGCGCTGAAACTTGCGTCGCAACTCGAGTAGCGGAATCGACTCATAGTACTTGACCCAGTCCACTGTGATGAGTACTCCATACTTGTGAGAGGCTTGGTTGCTCTCTGATCGAGCCGCCTGCAACCATGCACAGTCAGTGGCCGATCTCCCTCGGCTGGCACCCCAGTATCTTCTGTCGAGGGCGTCGTGCATGTGCGCAACCATGGGCTTGCGTGCTCTCTGCCACATACGGTAGATGGCAGCGTACAGTATTATCAGACGATTGCCTCCAGACGGCTTTGCCAGCATCGGCATCTGGATCCAGCACAGCTGCTTAGGCAACATGCCTATGGCTTCAGACGCCGAGAGCAGCAGAGCCAGCGTGTGGAGGCCGTCGTCGTCAAGGAGTAGGAAGTGCCTCGGGTGAAAGTTATCGTAGCTAGTGACCGTCCCAGCTGGAAATGACATGGCAGCACGACGC